CCTTTTATAAGTAATTCCATGTCAACTTGAATCATATTTAAGGTACAGTATTAATAAGTATTTGATTATTCTTATAACAGCAAATAGCCGACTATCCGAGACGCTATTTATTTTTGACGATATCTGGAAAAAGGATCATTACAAATACTTATCTTTTGCCAAGAAGTCAATCTCTACTTCACGATTTAAGTATCTAGAAAATGAGCTCGACCATCACTGCATCCGTTTACAGGTTAGTTTTGTAATTCAGTTTCAGTTACAGTTGAATTGCTCTGATGATATTGTTCATTTCATGCAATAAAAGGTCAAAAATGAATTTATAATTTTTTCCAACTGTATTAATTAAAGTGGCATGGAGTATAGTGTTATAGTTGAAGAAAACTTCACCGCTATGATTTCTCTATTTTGTCATTAAGTAACCTATCCGAACAATTATGATAAATACAATTCTTATTTCATATACTCTCTTGTATAGGAAAATCTAACGGATGATGAAGCTATAGAACTGCTTGCGTTACTTGCCGTTAACGATAATGATCAGACACTGCATCAAAATCAAGTTAAGACATTAGGTCAAAATCGAGCTGTCAAGAACGTTATCGACAGTTGTCAAGGTTTACCATTAGCTATATCTTTAATTGGTCGTCTTGGTTTAAAAACTGAGAAGGAGTGGAATCAAGCAAAGGATATCATTGCCAAAAAGTCTGCACCAACCAAATTAGCTCATTACGATTTCAATCTATACGGGACTTTAGAATTAAGTGTTGATTCTTTGGAGAATAAACGATTATTTGAGCAACTAGCTGTATTTAAGCGAGTCAGTATTCCTATTCAATCTGTTGCATCGTTATGGGACTGCGAAAAATCGGAAGCTCATCTTCACTTAATCGAAATGAATAACAAATCATTACTTACATATGATGAAGAAAAGTAAGTATAATCAGGTTTCGGTTTGTAGAACGTATTGAAATAGACACAAAGTAAATTGCTATACATTTAGAGCATCAATCATGTTTGAAAACTAATTATTTTTTAATTTTGGGGTAGAGTAGAATACTGCATATCCAAGTTAAGTTAATTGAGTGATGTCCAATTTTGCAATGCTTTATATTTTAATATTCAAAGCATGACCTAGTGTGTCCTTGTAGGCATATATAGTGATAGATATAGAATGAACAGATTGATAAGTATTTTAAATTGATTGTGACTGTACAGTACTTGCATGTCGAAATAAGCTATTATATATCTGCTTTATGTTAATTTTGGTTAGAATACTGTATGCCCAAGTTAAGTTAATGGAGTAATTTTGCAATGCCTTATAGGTATGGAATGAACAGATTGAACGAGTGTAACTTGTAGATATATTTAGTTATTGGTATACAAGTGGAACAAGCTAGGATAAATGCAATCTGTAAAATACAGAACATAATACTTTTTATCTACTTGTTAATATATTTGGGTTCTATCACGATTTATAAAAAGGTCATACTAGTTACGATGATTGCCTATTCTATGTTTTGACGACTGTACATAGGCTGCTATATTAATTCTGCAAATACTGTACAGAATAAGAATATCTATCAATCGTTAGTTGTAGGTTGATAATATTGCGCTATTAGTTTTGTCTCTTTTTTTATCTACTAAATCAACATTATCACCATATTAAGGTTACTAGTAAAATTTGAAGTTGTGACGCTTTCACTTCCATCATTAATAATGCAAATATTATATTGTGAAGTATAAATTGTCTTACCTAACGTAGTCAATCGGCATTTGCTATTTTCCTCTTCCATCTTCAAGAGATCTACGAATGTATGTCTATAAAGCAAGCCTTGTATACACACTGCACATTGCACACAATATTCTACACAGTAAATTGAATTCTAACCCTCTTCCATAAGGCTCTCTTTCTCTTTTAGTGATAACTAGCCAATAACTACTTTTATTTAACTAATCTTTTCTATTAGCTACTGTTTAGTTTGATAGTAAATTATGATTTGCTATCGTCTAAAGTAATTTGATTCTGTAATCCAATTCATCTGCAATGACTACCCAATATGTTCTCAATAATCGAGCCAGTTCTATTCAATCCATAGTTTTACATACGCTATAATTGTTATAATTGTTATAATTATTCTCAATGCAGTGCTACAATCGATAGCCTTGCATTGACCACTGTAAATAGTATTAATCCCATTGATTTCCATTACTTTGTCAAGATGTGTTCTACACGATTTGATGGTCGACTATCTACAGCAACGACTCTACTCGCACAATTCCAATCAAGATTATCGCAAGAGTTTAAACAAAACGTTGATCGATGGTTACCGTAATCAGTGCGATGGAAAGTGGAATACCTTCCCTGATGATGGCTATTTCTATCCCAATCTTATTTATCATGCTTTAATAGCTGAAAATGATGAAGATCTTCAAAGTATTATGACCGATTTCGATTGGATGAAACATAAAATTGAAATAGACAGGACAATCTATTACCTAGAATGCGATTTAACAGACTACATCGACTATCTAAAGAAAAGAAAAGAAAGAAAGGAAAAAAGGAAAGGAAAGAAAAAGGAAAGAAATAAGGTTGGATACTGAATTGATGTAGTTAATTCAATAGAATGAAAAGATTGATTACTTACTTTCATCTCTGTATACCATGGATCAATAACAACTGTACAAATGATTCCATCATCCATTTTTTGGTGTAGATTGTTCAAGGTAGTGATTAATGATATAACATGTAGAAATCCTAGTTACTTACGCCACCTGGTATTGGTATTTGCAGTTTTCAAACTGACGATCTACTTTGTACAAATCGGGCTGCGTCATTTTTATCACTATATAAGTATTTGCATGCTTAAAGTGTAGTTGGACAGTCGCTTTTACCAATGTCCATATTTTATCATGTTTTGATTAACGTAATAAATGATCACGCCGTCGCTT